TTAAGAAGCAAAGAGCTTTAATAAAAACCATCCTTCCAAAGTGTCTCCTGTTAGGAGTACTTTTAACGAACATGCCTGATTCTTTCATTATTTCTTAAACTAATAAACTCTGGAAGATTCATGTGTAGGGTTCCTGGAAACAACGTTTGAACAGGAAATCTCCCTTCTGTAAAGGGAATTTTTTACATAGCGCACTGGAAAGAAAATCTGACCCTGGAATCCAGAGTTGGGGGAAAAATTTTTTTTTATCTATTTTTCTTTCTGGAAAGAATTTTACTTGAGATATCATTTTGTTGTTCTCCTCAAGAAAAGCGGCACCAGAGGAAAAATGAAAACAGTAAACTGGAAGGGTTGCCACTTTGAAATATAATTTTGAGTCTCCTCAAAAATATCTGATGTGGATTATTTTAGGTTGTAGACAATATATCATACCAACAGATTTAATCACTTTTTCCATTCATTTGTATTTCAGCAATATTCTTTAGAATTCTTATGCATTTTTCTAATTAACAACCCAATGTTTCATAAAAAATGTATTAAAATCATCTTGGTTTACACCACCAGTTACAGTGTTAAATATCTGGGGTAACACTGAGAAATCATTTGTTAAACAAATGCTTCATGTCCTTGGATTTGTTTTTGTAAGCTGCTTAGCTCACCATGTATTTGGTAAATAAATACTTCAAAAAAATATTGAATAATTTGACGTATCTTGCTTCTTGCATTTCTGATCAGTTTAATTTCATGCACTAGTTCCCTTGGATTCTCTCTGTTTGGCAAGGTGCATTTTTAATAGGTATCAAGCAAATAACTATAAAAGGAATGAACGAATGCCTTCACTGTGTTTCCATCACTATCTTATTAGGTCAAAGTTAGGTTAATTATATTTCTTAAAATAGAGGTGATTGAGAAAACCCAAAGCAGAATAAACATGCAAATAATATCTGAAATTCCATTTTAGGACAGACTCATGGTCTGTTCAATCTAGAATTACATTTCTGTTAGGGTAACAGTATCTGTCCTGTTGGAGACCCTGGCAGGGTTGAGGGGGGTCTCCCTGCAGCCACACTCACAAAGGATGAGCTGCCGTACACAACCAAGAGACAGTTTGTCATACACAACTTATCATTGTGCATTTATGAATTAGGAAGATAGTTTAGATTGTTGGCCTACACTATTTTTGGAGCATGATGTGTCCCATATATATAGCATTTGTTGGCTTCTTATTCCCCCAATATTTCAAAGTATCCAGTAATGTCAACTAATTTTAATCTTACTTTTTCACTTATTATTTCAGCTTATCTCTAAATATGTTCTTACACTTGAAAATTCTATACTGTACATCTACATCCTGAGATTTCTTTGCCAAAACATATACTGCTCAGATTAAATCTTGAGAAGTTTGATTAAGTAGTGCCAGGGGAATAGAGAAATGGTTTAGGAGAATGTGGTTAAACAATTAGTAGGCTTTAGAATGAGGAGCATTAGAGTAGATAGAATCTAGGAGAAAAAAACAAAACTTCTCTTCAGGGGTAAGTACTTTAGGAAGTCACTATCATATCATAGAAAATGCATGCTTTGGAGATAGCAGTGCTCGGTATGAATCAGATGTCCTCTATTGTATGAGACTTTGGACAAACTGAGTCAATCTCATGGACCTTTACTTCTCATATTGACAATGCAGGGATAATAATGATTTCATCATATTCTTATGAGAATTTAATGGAAGACCACTGGAAAATACCTAGTGTAATGCCTAACATAAATAAGGCACTAAAAACAAACAAACAGCACGAACTATAGATCTAAGATTAAAGTGGGTGCCAGAAAATTTGCAACAGGCTCATGTTTCCATATGTAAAACAGAATAGTCTTGGTTGAGGTTCTCTTTAAAAAACAAGTCACCCCAAACTCCTGAATAATAATCCTATTAAAATACAGACTATACTTTTGTAAGTGTAAACTGAGAAAAAACTGTTTATCTAAAAGCTGGCATGGCATTAATTGAACCTCTCCCAGACCTGCCAATGGAGTAGGTAGGGGAACCAAAATGTTTATTTTTGGTATGGCACATAAATAATCTGTCCTCAACTGTTGTAAGAGTTCATCCAGAGTAGTTCTGTCACTAGTGGTAAACAAAAAACAGATGCTAAAGATCAGTAAATAGCTCTGGGAAGTCATCAACAGGGCTTAACAAAGAATAAATTGTGAGCAAAACTAATGTGCCCGTTAGAGGTTGTAAAGCCCATGGAGACATTGGAAGCACTTATTTCCCTTCCCACATTTGTATCTTGGTAGTACTAAGACCTTTAAATCAGACCTTTATAAGATCTATAAAAAATAAACTGGGAAAGAAGTGCTTGTGGAGCTGTAGTTGGTTAGAATTTTTCTATTGAAGGTTTACTACCAATGATTCAATGGCAGCATGAAAAGCATTAGCTTAGTTTTCCATATCTTTCTTAGCAAAGCTTTTCACATGAGATCTTGATTCAATGCTGTTTCACAATGGTGAAAATGCAAACCTGCAACTGTTGTTCAGGTGGGGAAAGGATTGCAGAAGGGACTCATCTACTTTTAGTTCCTCAGCACTTCTCAAGTGACTTCTAGGTAGCAGAGATGTATTGTAAACCTTAGGAATACAAAGTGAGTAGGTCAGGTTCCTGCCCTTGAATAGCTCATGGTCTAATGGGGTACTAGGTGAAACAGGCACAGGAATGCATGACATGCACTACAAAGGGGTAAATGAAAATAGAGATGTAGAGGTATAGATGAATAGGCCAATTTGAAGATTCAGGGAGGCTTTCCAAAGGATGTGCTGCCTGGAGGATATGTTCCACTGGAATATGAAGAGAAGGGAACTGGGTGAAGCTAAGCAAAAAGGTGGCTCTTGATGGTGGTGCTATTCTAGGCAGAGGAGCAGCCTGTGTGAAATCATGGAATTGTATATCAGACTGTGTTCAGTTGGGTAAAGAGAGAGTAAAGCCTAGGGTTCCCTCAGCTGGAAAAGGGATTAGAGATGCAGGTAATGGCCAGGTCATAAAGACCATGTGTACTATTCAATACCTTGGTTTTGGTCTTGTAAGAAATGGGGAATACTCAAGAGTGTGTAACAAGGGAGTGCCGTGGTCCAATTTCCATGTGAAATACATTACCATGATATCAATCTAGAAATTAGATCTGATGTAGTAAGAGGAGATCAATTAAGAGGCTACTGAAATTATTTATGCCGAAGATGGTCAGAGTCTAAATGAGGAAAGAAGGAGAAAGAGTGAAGGAGAATATAGATTAAATAAGATTGGGGATACAATTAGCAAAAATTAGAGACTGAATGAACATAGCCATTCAATTTAATTGTTTCAGAGGAAAGAACATAATTTAGCAGGTGCAGATGATAAGTTTAATTTTGAACATGTTAAGACTGTAGTGCTTGTGAGGGAATCCAGGTAGTTATAGTCAGAAAGCACTTGAATCATGAGAGGTTCCAGTTAGAGATAAAAAATCCAAATCTACAGCAAACACATAATAGTCAAACAGGAGAAAGAATTCTATTACCTAAGGAGAACAGTTAATGAGCATCTGCTTACATGGCAGCACTTTTTTAGGCTCTGTCGTTGAAGTCGTGAACAAAATAGTCTCTGCTTTCACAGGGCGTGAATTCTATGAACTTGACTGGGAAGAGCCATTGGTCAGGGTGGAGGGTACCTGGAGGAAGAGAACAGGCCTAGGAGACTAAGAAGAAGAGGCAGACCAAGAGAGTGGCTCTTAGAAGTCAAGAAAAAAGAGAACATTGAAGACAAAAGAGAATTCAACAATGTCAAATAGGGCGGAGATGTCCAGTAAAGTAAGACCGAAAAAGTGTTCCTTAGGTTTGGAGATACAGAAGCCGTGCTAACACGGTCGAAGCAGTTTTAATGGAGTGATGGGGTATAAGCTAGATCGTAGTATGTTTAAGAGCTCAAAGAAGTTGGAGACACGGAGTATAAAATACATTTAAAGGAGATTTGGATGAGAAGTGAAAGGGATAGGGTGGAGGCTAGAGAGGGGAGGACATTCAGAGAAGTCTTGAAAACTGTCTTTTGCCCCAGTTTCTCATTTCCAGTGGACCCTGCATGTCTTTACTTGATAATCCACCAACAGTGGGAAGTCAACACCAACTAAAGCATCACGAATCCCTACTTCTGCCCTCACTACTCCTAAACACCTTGGCTTTAAACATGGCCTTCTTTCTGTACTTTGATAACTATCATTGCAGAACCTTTTCTTCACTTTCTGTACCCTGAGATCCAGTCAAATTGGCCAGGTCACTCTTCCTGAGTTTAATTTTTTTCCCACTCTAGCCATGAATTCTCCTCTACTTTGTCCAAATTGTGTCCGTCCTATAAACCCCAGTTCATTTATGTCCTTTGTAAATTTGTTGTCAGAATTCCTACACTGCATTTATCCTTTAACTCGTATAATATGTTGCCCATCTTGATGCTTTTTACATTGTAGATATTCATCAATTGTTTATGATCTCTACTATATTTTAAGATCTATGAGTGCAAAGGGCATATTTAACATGTTTTAATTATCAGTATCTTTCACAGGGCATGCAATAACTGCTTAATACATGCTTTATAAATGTAAGTGAACTCCCAAAGATAGAAAAATATAAAATTTCAGAGCTTAAGATGACCTTAGAGATATGTCCAAACTCTTTTTTTTTTGAACTGAAACTAGAAGATGTTCAGTGACTCCCCCAAGCCCCGTGGCTCGTCAGCGACAAAGCAGTGCTACAAACCCTATCTCCTGACTCTCAGCTTCATCCTCTCTCCATTTTATGACAGTATATGCTTAGAAAGCTTGGGTTGAGCCATCATCCTTGTCACCTGTTGTCCCTGACTCTGGCACTGTTGTTAGTGTTAAAGGTATAAAGTTTTTTCACTTTCTAGTCTCCAAGTGTGTGAATCCACAACCTAAAGAAGCACTGGACGAAGGCTTGAGCTGCCCACCCAACTCACCAGACGAAAGAGGGAAATGGCGTTTCCAGTGATGTTGTAGTGGGCCAGGACCTCGGCATCCGTGCTGATTCCAAATGACACATCTTGGAATTTTTGCACCATACTGTGGAATATGGACACTACTGGTATTTCTAAATCCTAAAAAGAGGGAAAAAGAAACCCCACAGGGGTTGTTTTGGAGGGGAGAGACATAGAAACAGAATGAGGAATAGAAATGGGATCACTCATAGAAATCACCCACTTGATTTAGTGTCCACTGAAGACCATGTGCTTCTGAGAATGTGGGCTAAATTTGTAGTGGCACTGTCACGTTTTCCTAACAAGCTGAGTGGGTTAATGGGTAACTACAAAACTGTGGCTAAGCCTGGGGCTCCTGTCTGGCCTCACCGTAGAACTTGCACTTTATTAGTAGCTGAGAAGGGCCCCCAAATCACAGAGGCCTGCACAGTTGGGCTGTGCTGTCTCTAGTATATCCGAGGAGGGGAATGTTTTGGGAACAATTTGTAGAGGAAAGAAGATGTGCAAAAATAAGAAATAGGTGCTGTTAAAAGGACCAACAAAGAAAATGCAAAGAATGAAAGATATTAAAATGAAAGCTCCGACCTGTTATTAACAAAGGTCCCCCTTCCACGGCATATAAGTCTGAGGTATTGCTCATGAAGATACTGTTCGTGAGTCCCTCCAGCTCTAGAACCCAGGCCTGCAGGAGGGAGCAGGGACACCGCTTCTCAGTGATGATTCTAGTCCTTCTATAGCAAGTGGGCATCATTTTCCCTGCCCTCACCGGACCTCAGCATGCAGCAGCCCCAGGTAATGCCCAGGAGTGAACATGTTCTTCCCAATATCTTTATGCGCTGAAGGATGAGGTACGCAAGAGAGTACAAGATGCTCCATCTGAGGCCAAGCAGAGGGAGCTGGAACCTTACTCATTGCCAAGGGCGTGTGGAGTTCATTCGAGGCTATGCACAATTGTTCATCTAGGCTTCCCTTTTCTTATTCTCCGCTTTGGGATATAATTGCTCAGAATCAAAGGACGGCCTCTGGTGGCTGTGTTAAGTCACTGCACATTCTTCCAGTCGCACGTTCTCACCCTCCCTGCCTTTCTGCAGGCAGCTGTTTTTGTCTACAGCTCAGATCTCTCCTCACTGAAAAACGTGTCCTCCCCACCTCCCCACCCCCACCCCCAGTCGTCCTTCCTGACTTGCATCTCATTGCAGCTATTTCCAGTTGTGTACACAGAATGGGCAGGGGGGTGGTGAACTGGAATTAATGAATCGAAGTGTATGAGGAAAGTCTGCAACGAGAGAGGAGGGGCTTGATCAGTGTGAGAATAGCCAGATGTTACCTCCAGGAAAGATATAAATGCTGGAATGAGTCCCTGTCATTTCATCATCCAGGGAGCCAATCTAGAAGATGGAGGCCGACACCTTCAATATACAACATATCATCCTTTTCCAACATTTCAGAGCAAACAAAGGGAAAGATCAGGACTACCTATTTGGCAAGGCTTTGGACAGAGGTAACTACTGACTCATGTATGGCCTGGATGATAGAAGCTGCATGTCCTCTGGCCCCTGCCTCAGCAATCCAGACACTGACTTAAGCTTCAAAGCATCTATAGATGAGGAGACCCAGCCAGCATCCTCCCAACTCTTGAAACAAGCATAAGAAAGATATAATCAGACACTGGGAATATCTTGAAATTGAGATGTCTTGATCGACAATCTCCAAGCAGACACTGTGATCCTTGACTTCTAAGCAGTGTCATCTGGCCAGCAGGTGACTGTCATGGCTTTTGAGATAGAACATTTCTGGTTCTTTGGGAGAACAGCAAGTGGGGTGTCTGGACAAACCTGGAAGAAGCCTATGACAGCCACCTCAGTAGCGGCGATGAATTCCATGGCAGCTGGGACATCCGTGAGCCACACAACTTCCTGGGAAGCACCGGGACCATCTAGACAGAGAAAAAGAGAGAGAGAAGCAGAGGTGCTGGGGCACTGAGTGGAGAAGCAGTTCTGAATAAGGAAGGTATCTGTACTTTCTCTCTCCACACTAAGGCTGAGGAGATCAGTTACCAGGCCAAGGCTTACTCTTTTTTTTTTTTTTTTTAACCAACATATGGAGGGCAACCTCAGCTTATTGCTGAGGATAAGGATAATGCCAGACTTCTCTTCTCCACTAGGCAACACAAGTCCACGTGCAGCATTTCCTGGAAAATGTTCTACATTTGGAGGAAAAGTGCCCAGGGTACTACCCTGTTCCCTTGCCTTCTCCTGAGAACTTCCACACTGTGGTCACCCACCTGCTTCTTCCTTTTACCTGAGGGTTCCTGAGCCTCAGCAGCAACTTCTGGGGACAGGCCGCTCATGAGGAGTAATAATAACAGCAGGCATCCGGACCAGTCCGCTCCCATCGTTGTGCTGCCCCTCCAAGCCCTGGGCCCCGTGCTTTTGGGGTGCTGGTTCAGGGCAGCCCGCTCTGCAGTGCGTTGGCTGTGGTAGTGCTGGTGCTCTGGGAACTTTGCAGCTGGCTCCAGGGGAACCTTCAACCTCTGAGATAAAAGACCAGGTTCAGTGACGGGGGCCTCAGAACAAAGCCAACCAGAAGAAAGCCAAGTGGTTCATTTAAATGTAAAAAAAAAGAAAGATTCTCTGCAGGCATTGACCTAAGCACTAAGGATACCAAGAAACCTAACATCTGCTCCAACCAATCCTCGCTTAATTGTAATGGGAGAGATGGACAGATAAACAGACGTTTTAAGTATAAAATGGAAGGTGATAAAAAGTTGAGAAACTCAAGGTGCTAGGACTACCCATTCAGGGTGGGGTGCAGTGAAGCTTTCTTCCTGCAGGGGGAGCCCAAGCAGAATTTTAAATAAGATTTGCCAGGCAACAAAGGTGGAGTTTCAGGTTAAGAACTACAGCACAGAGATGCAAATGTAATGTGAGAGAATTATTAGTTATTGAATATTAGCTCAGATTGTAGGGGGCATGATGCACAAAGTGTAGGAGCGCTAGTTTTCTTTCCTCGGCAATGGGAATCCATGGATAGGAATTAACAGAAGAGAGACAATGTCTGATTTGGCCCATACAAGCCTTTGGAAATTCAAGATGAGATTCCCAAAGACAGTGGGGTGTATAGGTCTCAAGCTCAAGAGAAACTTCCATATGATAATGCCATAAAATAGAATAATTTGAGGTTGTCTACCATCCATCTTCTGAATGCTCATTGCCTATTGCTCTGGAATAGGGGTACCAAACTGTTCCTAGAGATGTAAAGGCCTCCTCTATTACGTCCTTTTCCCACTGCTGCTAAGGAAACTGTCAAATGTGAGCCATCAGTTGTCATATTAGTTCAAAAGAAGAAAGCAGAGAAATGAAGGTCTCAGTCAGATCATACAACTGTTTTATTTTCTGTCTTATGCCATTTACAGTGTCTTCCAGAAAAGAACCCCAACTGGCAGGGAATGTGATTAGGGACTTTTGTTGAGCCAGCAGCAACCACATAAGGATCCACAGGGGGGATGAACTACTGGAAGCCAAGGCCAAGGGACTCTGAGGGGCAGTTGACCCATTTCCTGGCCTCTCGTTGCTCAAATGGGAGTAAGAGAAAGAGTTATTAAATGATTGTGTTTTGAGGGAGAGAACTTTGAAGATCTGGCCATGAGGGGGGTCAGAAGGAGTAGGCAGGAGTAAAGCCTGGGTTTTAAGCATCTTATGCTAAGGACCACTTTGAGAGACAGTGCAGGATAAGATGCGTCAATAAGAGAACGTGGAGAGTATCGGAGCTGAGCCCCGGCTGCGAACAGGGAGGAGGGGCACGCTGGTGACAGGAACGAGAGCATCGCTCAGGCGGCCAGGGCAGGGGAGGGACGGGCAGAGGCACTCATTCTGTCCACTCCTTCCTAATGGACAGGTTCCACTCCCAGGTGAGGTGGTCGTGCTTGTCATCGTCGGTGAAGAAAGACTTATTGTGGTAAGTGCCTCGGGCCAGCATGCCCTTGGGGGCCTCCTCAGCGGGAGTCAGGAACTCATACTCCTCTGGCCGAGGCCCATAGCTGCCAACCATAAATGTTGCTTTATCCACTGAGAAGAAAGAGAAGTTCATTAGGGCAAGAGTCTGCTGGAGAAAAAACAAATACGCAAACTGGAGAGTTTGGAGCACAGTGTACGGCGATCAAAGCCAAGAGCAATAGTTTCCAAGCCTGGCTGAACATTAGATTTACCTGGGGCATCTTTCTTTTTTCTTTCTTTTCTTTTCTTTTTTTTTACTGGAGTGCCTTTTAATTATACATCTTCCCTTGGCCAACTCTCAGAGATTATGGTTCAATAATCTGCTGTGGGTCCCAGGAATCCATGTTTTTAAAAAACATCACGTCTGATTCTGAATATCAGTAAAGTTGAGGAATCAGCGTACTAGATCAAGGGGATTAAGACTCTCTTTATGGAAATGTAGCAGATTATACCATTAAAAAAAACCCCAAATTAGTTGAAGAGCTGAGTTGTGGTCTCATAAGTCACATAAACATTTTGGGTTTCTGTTTCTTTTTATATATAATGAACTTCAAGGATCTTCTATCTACCAACTATCATATTGTGAATATGTCAGTTAAGGAGATTTCATTAACAGCTGTTGATCAGAATGAACAGAATTCATGGATGGAATAATAGGATGGAAAGGGAAAACCAATAATTTGGTTAAAAAAAAGTGAAGAACTAGGGCACATGATGAAAATAGCCAAGCAAGGTTATCTATCTATGAATAACTGGGATATATATTAAGAATAGTAGGGGATTAGAAAGTATAAATAAAGGCAGATAGACAAGCAGACCATGTAGCTGGTAAGTGTCATGACTACGTTAGAAGGAGCAGCTATAGACAGGCCATCATCCTGTTGTCTAAGGGAGGCAACATAGTCTTTATGTCCAAGGGAAAAAAATAGACAACCGAAGTATTTTTCCATAAGACTAGATATAGGAAAGATCAATTAACATCTTTCAGATCAACAGCCTTCTGTGGGGTTTGAGTAATTGAGTGGCTTTCTGTGTCATTCAAGTTTATTAGATGATTTCTCCCTTATCCTTTGTTTATTAATTTGGTGGAATGGACCTGTGCATTACTGTTTCACATCTCGGGAGAAAGAGCCCCTCAGGTGAAAAGGAACTGCAAAAATGCTTCTATGCTTTCTACCTGTCATTTCTCACTGCCTATAGTAATGGAAGAAAATTGAAGACAATTTCCCAAAGCATATACAATCTGGCAAGAACAACTGAATATTAAGTAACGTTATCTTATTTGTTTCAATTCAGTAGTTTTTCTCAGTTCTAGAAAGAGTATTTATTTTCCTATTTTTCTTTGTTTAGCAAAGTAAATGCTTCCCCTGACACCCCTGCCCACATGCTTTTCCCAACTCCCATTCCCAAAAAACACAAGTACCAGTGGATAAGTCTTTCCTGTCTTGGCTTTCTCTGATACTCATGTTTTATACCTGTGAACAGCTTTTTTTAAAAAAAATTTTTCAGAGTATTTTTATTAAAACATATCTTGGTCACTCATCCCTTTTATGAGTAATAAAGTTGAATTCCAGGAGCTGAATGCTGAAAGTTAGTGTCTGACTGAGTCTAAGCGGGGTCTTTGAAGGTAAACCTTGCTGCTAATGTCTAGGTCAGAAGTATACACGTGCCCTTTCCTATAGTGTGTGTTGTCCATAGCTTTTATCAGATTCTTTAATGAGTCTATGACTAAAAATTGTTAATAGCCAGAAGCTTACATGTGAGTGAGGAGCAGAGTTTGGGTTAGTGTGAAGTGTGGGTCCCTTACCTTTCACCCCGGTCCGATAGGTGTGCTGAACATATTTCAAGCCTGACACAATATCCCTGTTCACCTGTAGGTGGGAAGAATCCAAGCAATTCAGATTAAAGAGGGTCTTTCATTTTTCCTAATATTTCATGCTTATCCTATCCAGCTGAAAATTCTCTGAGGGTGAAAGGATAGCAGATTTATTTCAGAATTAGTGTTACTGTTATCATTTAGCATGGTGGGAGGCAAAGACTGGAGTGAGGAGTCACAGACTCAACACCACCAAGCTAGTTTGAATCATCACATACTGTGATTTTTTGCTTTTAGGTGAGGTGGTACTTAATTAAAACATTGTCTCAATATTCTTCATTACATTTCTCCTTCCCCAATGGTCCAAAGAATGTTTTTGAACTCCCCCTCCCTGCTACTACTGGCCCGAAGACTGTGCTTATGAGAGGAACGATTATAGAGGTACCAATGGAAAGTATTATGTAAATATCTGAAAACCCTAACCTCAGAAATGATGTACCTAGCATATGAAAAACAAACAACAAGGAGAAAAGCTGTAATGGAAAATCAGGTCTAGCAGATGGTTGTGCCTGCAAAGTAATTGAGATTGGAGTCTAGAGATGAGGAGGTGAGCCACACAAAAACATCCTCCCCATGTATAAATAATGGGTGACATCCACTTGTGTCTGGCAATGATTTTTAGTTGTTTGCCATATTCAGACGTCATCTGAGATCCTGCCTCTTTCCCAAGCCTTTCAAAGAAAATCCACTCAAGTCGGATGAAAATATAGATAGCTCAAGCACTTTTTCCATGACTCATTTTACCTAGGACTGAACCCTGTTGTCTGTTAATTTTACACAGTGGTCAAGTCTAAACAAACAAAGTGCGTCATTAGCTGAAGGGTTTGGTTAATTGTCCACCAAAATGAAGAATTAAAGCATCTTCAAATAATTTTTTTCCCAACAATAATTATGGCTCCCTTTTTGTTTTGGACAGAATAAATAAACCAATCTATCAGTTAGTGATGAGATTTTTCTCCCATTGGAGGCAACACCAAACCGCTGAAGTGGATGGCACCTGAGAACCCCTTTCTGTGCCCTCCTCTTCTCCCCCACCTTAATGTGTCACCCTGAGCACCTCATGCCCCATGGCCTTCCCACCCACCCAGAGGCCCCCACTCCAGGCCTTCCCTTCTCTTCTAGTCACATCAAAATCTACCTGTCACCTTTCATTTGGCAAAAACTGGCTTACTAACTTGACAAATGAAGGCAGTAGCCTTAATCACTAAGAACTGGACAGATGCATAACCCATTCTAAGCATATTTGGATGTGATACCAAACTCTCAAGTGCTTCAGTAATAAATAATACTACAGGAAGCAAGCAAATGAGCTAAAGCTCAGTGCATATAATAGAGTAGGCGTCAACAAATATTTCCAAAATGAAATTATTTTGAGGCGTATTTGTATGTGGTGGAGAGCGAGGTCCGAGGACTCTGAATCACACCCTGAGGCCAGGGGAAAGAAAGCCCAGTGAGTAAATAGAAAGGGCAGGTGGGGTCTTCCTTGGTGCAGCCCAGGGCCTGGAAGATGTGACGAGTGGGAATCAGGAGCAACCAAGGCAAATATAAGCAACTGAGAGCAAACAGTGCATTTCTGACTGACGTGTTTTCAGTCAAAGGTTATTTTTCTCTTTGCTTTATTGCTCATTGGGAAGTGTGTCTACTCATTATATGTCCGTTTATCCCCTATTTAGTTCCGTCCATACCTGTTCACCTGTTCCTCAACTATAATTGTCATTTCCAATTACTTACCCAGGACCGCACTCTGTTTATTTATGTAATTATTGAGCAATTAGAACTGAGGCTTTATCTGTTCTGTTTTCTTTTCCTATTAATTAATTCACTCATGCATCTACTTCTCAATAAATATTCACTCAATAGTGATCATTTACAAAATTTTGTGCGAAAATTTGGAAAGATGGGATATCTGCTCTCTCCCAGTCTCAAGGTCCTTAGGCTGCGTAGGGGAGAAGCGACACAAATGGGACAGCACAGAGCAGTGTGTGCCATGTGGATGGAGTACCAGGAGTTCCCAGAGAGTGGGACCCCATTGGCTTAGGTGATCGGTCAGGAGAGGACCCTGGCTGGGAAGAGGCATGAAACAAGGGTGGGTCTCAGCAGGTGGACGCTCAGAGTTGGGCGGAGAAAAGTCCAGACCCAGGGAGAAAAGAAACAAACAAAAACTATCCAGCATGATGATACAAGAAAAACCTTTTTTCTTTCTCTTACTATTGGAAGGATTTAAACTTTACCAAAACATACAGGGCAAGATACTTACTTTGAAATGAATTTTGACTCTGTACTCAACACCTTCCTTTAACACAAAGGTTTCTTTCTTGAGGGCTTCAAGGTCCCCTGTAGAAGTGGATTTAGAAAACGCTTAGTCTCAGCAGAAGGAGATACAGAAGGAGATAAATGAAATTGAAGCTCTCGGGCCATTTGCCGGGCCCATCAGAGTAACATGGTCCATATGGCCTCAACAATTCAAAGAGCATTTGAGATTAGTTCCTGCACACACACACACACAGCTTCAAGTGTTCATTTCAACCTGAAATCATACAGGTAGCTATGAAACATGGAAAAGCTATTTATCCCCCAGGTTTGACAACTCTAAAAATATACAAGATGTTGCCAGTAATAAAAATAAGTCTTCTAATTGTCAATAATAAAAACAAGTGTTATCGATCATCTTAGAGGTAAGTCTGAATTATTTTTCTATTCTTCTTTCTCTTGAAGATCATATTATATATATGTGACTTAATGAAAAGATGTATAAAGAACATGTCCCTACTCCTCAAATAAAGAAATGTAAGAAAAATATTATATGGGAATATCAGCTATTTGTGTTTATAGATCTGGTAATGTTTGTGGTATTTTCTAGCTTTAAAAAATTTACTCATTTTGGTTCCTTTTTCTAATTCTAAGTAATATTTACTTTTGTACTTAATTTTGCATATGTTTTCTCAATTCCATATTATTTTTCTTAAGGAAAGTCACTTAAGTTATAAAAGCTTCAGGGTCAGTAAAACCAGGATCTGCCCCTAATTCCCCTACCCTGGTTAGAGAGGGAATCATTCTCTGATCTTCTCCCAGTGCAGTCCTCTATAATTGTGTGTGTGTGTGTGTGCGTGTGTGCGTGTGTGTGTGTATTTTGCACATCTCTGTCCATGTGCTTCATTGTAGAGCTGATGCAAGTATACTGTGTATCTCTCTCTCTCTCTGTCTCTCTACTGGGATTCCCTTCAGTGGCCTTTTTGTGACAGAAGACCAAAGTTAGGTTTCCTGATGATGGGAAAGGGGCAGAGACTATGTCTTTCCCACAGCATCACCAGGGCCTTCTTAGATTTCCTTAGTGCTAATTCAGGCCCCATCTTGCAAACTGACAGTTGTACTTGGTAACACTACACAATTTTGCACAGGAAGAGGTCTGAGTCCTGGTGAGAGAGACAGAGAGTTTCTCTCCTGGAGAGACGTGGGAATGTGGGGGCAGTTGAATTTGTGTGTGTTCTCTAATGACTTCAGTTGAACCGGAAGTATGTCTACTCAGCCTGATTTCCTCCCTCTGACAAAAAAGCCCATATAAGGTAAAGGCTGGATGCTCCTGCATGAGCGGAACCACCTTGCTGCTTGGGAGCCCTGCTTTGCTGTCTCAACAAGTCCCTTTCTGAATCTGGTAGTAAGTTTCTTTTCTTATTTGAGACCTGCCCTTAATGCCCCGGCCTCCTCGCTCTGTGGCCCTTCCCTTGTTCCTCTCAGATGCCCTTTCCCCTCAACACCCACCTTCCCTCCCCTGCCTATCTCCTCAAGATCTACATTTCAGGAAAGGTCTTGGCCCTTGCTAGTAAGCTGAAGGAAAATAACCACATTGTAATTCGTACATCTTTAGTGGGGGAACTTTTTTATTTATCAAGAATCAGAGCTTTAGGCTAAAATTGTAAGTGTTTAACAGTGGAATTCCTAGCCTCCAGATCTTAGATTGCTTCTTGCCTTCAGGTAAGTTCTACAGCTGGTCTAAGTTCAATACTTTTCCTGATGTTTTAATTGTATAAGTGTTACAATTCCAGAAGCATACAGCTTACTTCTTATTATTTCAAGCAGCAGTCTTTTTACATGAATAGCTCTTTTCCTGCTATTGTGTGGAGAAAATTCTTGTAAAAAAATTCTCACAAAAATACTTGTAAATATGACAAGTAAACATCCAATACTTATGCCCACAACCTCCTCACTTCACGTAGAGAGCCAGAGGTCAGGTTTTTTATTAAGCATGGTGAATACTCTGAGAGCAATGGTGTGTGAGCCGGTCCCAGTGTACATGTATCTGGGATTCACCTTGCTGCGGTCGTGTTTTACTGGGACAGAGGCAGAGACCACGTTTTCCCAGTGGTAAGATTAGGCCCCTCCGAACAGAACAGACGTGTCCACTTACCAGTGAGGTCCATGGTGATCGGTCCTGGAGCACTCTCACACACCAGGGTGAGCCGGGTGACAGTGACGTTGGGAGCAGATGGATCTGCAGGATTCAAAAGGGAATGTAGGTGCAGGGAAGAGATGCGTTTGCACAATTTCAAGTCGGGGAGAGAGAACAGAAAGAGTAAGGTGATTGTTCAATCTTAAGCAGAAATAGAAATGGAAGTGGCAGATTCGCCATATTTGGTCTTAATGGCCTTATAAATTATGGTGACGCTATTTCTCCTTCAGGCACTTGTAGGCCCATCTTCATTATCAACAGCAAACAAATCCTGAGTGGCTGTGGGTAAGTTACTCTGCTAGCTGGGCGCTGCTCAGGTGTATCTGCGGGCAATGTCTTATTCCACCGTTGTGTGTGTGTGGAAGACGTGGATGGTTGGTAAGGGAGGAGAAAGAGAAAAAGAAGGAGAGAACGTGGAGGAGAGAACAGAGAGCATACAATTCTAACTGGTAGTCTGGAATTCTTTCCAAATTCTATGTGTTTTTTTTTTTGCCTATTTCAATGCTGACTTGGGCTTTACAGCCAAAGAGGACGTAGTTACATAGTTTGAAACTTTATGCAGCACACTGAGAGTATGCGTCATACCCTTAATCCTGGAAGCGTTGGGTGCTCTCCTTTGCACCTGCTCCCAAGGAGGTGACATGTACATCTTATCTGGGACCCTCCACCTGCCCCCCATCCCCATGCACACACACCTGCTACCACGGGACCATCCCCCAGGAGCGTTTTCTTGTATTTAGCGAGACTTTCATCATCTTTGTCCATCTCCTGCAGCTCTTTGAGGGACTTCTGTGGCGGAGGCTTGTAATTGAGCTTGCCATCCAGATCCTCGTCATCCTCCTCCAGGTGTGGTTCTGGGGCCTTTTCAGTCATTTTGATCTATTTCGTGGAGAGAGAGGGTGTTAGTCCATTAGCCCAAAGTCAGTGGATATGAAAACTGTTTGTGGGGCTGCCGTCAGCACCATCCTTGCCCTAATAGATGTCTGGAATTGTCAGTGATTTTCCAGGAGATTTTTCCCTAATTTGACCTTGTTAAATGTCATGAAATAAGAATATCATGTATTTCGTTTTTTGTGTTGCATCTGTGTGTCCTGAGATGAGTATTTCTTACTCACTGAATAAAACTGATGAGAATGAAATAACTCATTTGTGAAAAATATACCACAAGTGAAACAACATACACATGCAGTCCCGAATAATGAGCAGATAGGCTGAGTTCAGGTAGTTATAGAAATTTTCACTGTCCTCTGAATCCAGCCACCCTTGCTAAGTGCTAAAGATCTCAGCACACACCATCCCAGTGATGGTGATTTCAAGACACAGGCTGAGTACTTGCTTCTTTCCATTAATTGAATCTTTCCCTGAACTCCTGCAATACCTTGAAGGCAACTCAGGCAAAGGTATAGACCCCTACGACGCCCGTCGGACGTGCCTCCTGCACAACATTGGTTCCCACACAGCATTGCTCAAAACTCCTTGAGACCAGGTACCGAGGTTCTGTGTTTCTCTTGAATATCCCATAATACTTGAATAGTTCAGGCTTTTTTGATAAATATCCATTATTTGATTTATTAGGTATGTCTAAACACCCTCTCTTCTTTGGAAATGACACAAAATAGCAAAAGACCCTTTAAATTCCTCCAGACAAAATTACAAGTATGTCATCGATACCCTTCCATGGACCTCCCCTTTCTGGATGGTCTTCCATTAGCTCCTCCCTCCCTCTCTGGGTTTTCAGTGATCTTATGTTCTGAGGTCTCATCTGAGCAGACCCTAGAGTCTGTCTTCTTTCATCACCATCTGCAAGTACTTGCTTTGTGTTAAAACATTGGGAAGATTTTTCATAAAATTATTCACACTTAAGTGTTAATGACTGAATAATAGATTTAAAAATTATTCCTCTTAGGGCATGTATTGTCAGAGATTTTCAGAGCAGAAATGGACCTTAGAGGTGGTATATTCCAACCCCTCTTGTAATTATTGAGAAAGTTGAAACCCAGAGTTTGAGAGAATTGCCCAAATTCATGTGGCCGGAGGAGCTGCAGTGTTCTAATAAAGAGGAAGAATTCTGTACTGGAAGAATTTCAGGGCCTGTGGCTGGCAGCAATGGAGTTAATTTGGGGAAACATTAAAGATATTTGGGCAAGGAGATAACTGCCTGCATTCCTTCAGTTCTACCTTGAGGATAGCTCTCTTCCCTGCCTGTGGGTAAAGGCTTCATTGCTCCTAAGTGACACAACTCTAACCCAATAACTAGCACATCTCATTCTGAGTGACTCTGCAAACCTCTATACAGCCCCCTGAGAGTGAAGCTATCTCTGGCCAAAATCAGTTGTGGTTTCGAATTTCAATGTCACTGTCATTGCCAACAGGAAGAAAAATAATTTGTAAGTGAAGTCAAACAAAAGCAACTTAAACAGAACAACAGAAAAAAAAAAAAGAAAGAAAGAAAAAGAAATGAAAAAAAAAATCTCTTGGTTTATCAATCTTCCAGCAAATTAACAAGCCGAACACTACTAGTTTGATCAATCCTGAAACAGCGTTGCAATCCGCAGGTCCACTTCCTGTGCAGGAAGGAAACATGCAGGCCTGTTGCTATGGCAACTCTTGCCTCAGCTGAAGATACAGCACCACTCAAAGCTGAGTCTCTATAGAGGACAGCTCAACAAACATAGTGACTAACTCAGCTTGTGTTCCAAATAACATGCTGGGAAAGTGAATGAGCTGGTTAAAGAAACAATGAGGGATGCAATCAGTGGGGGTTGTAGGTCAAACTACCCTAGTGGGTAGTAGAAGGTCAACCATAAAGAGGCCAATGCAGAGCAATCCTGGTCAAGACTAATCAGATGAGGCAGTCTGTCCTCTGGTGACACCCAGGAGCTTGCGTAGGTACTCTGGGTGGAGGTCACACAACAACCCTGTGGGTGGAGCATCAGGAGGGCTATCCACAGATGAGGGACCCTTGGCCCCATGGACAGGCCTTTCTGGCATAGATCACTTGTTTCTAACAAATCATCTGCTAAAAGTCTGCCCATCAGATGACATCAAACCCAGCCACTAACTAGCTTGGGGTGATTCCAATAACCTGTAGGGAATAGTCAAATCTCAATTTTGGAAGGAGAATGAGAAAGAGGAAGATTGAGAGAAAAAATATGGCCTAGGACAGGATTTGACAACCCCTAACGGTTTGATCATTGGGAAATCAATTTATCTGTTATCTAGATCTTGATCTTATTAGTAAATCCAAGACTTAATGTCAGTTCAGAATTTCCTTGATTCATTGGAAACAGGTACAATAATTGCTCCATAAAAATAAGACACAAATTTATTTAAAGATACTGAACAATAGAGGATAATGTGGGATTACCAAATGAAATTGCTATAGTCTAAATGAGAAAATTCAGGACCACATTAAGATATTCGGGTCTAATTATACAGCATAAGCAAGAGAGATGAGGCCAGATGACCCCCAAATCAGCTCACTGTGGAAAGCTGATTAGAAAATGGTGAAAATGTAATAATACAGCAAATAAAGGACTGATAAAGCGGTTCTCAAAGAAACCCCTCTAAAGCAAAAGTAAGGTCACAAATATTTGGCGAGCACCTAATATTTACAAGACACTGTGCACACAGTGAATTTTATACTCTCCAAGCTCGAGAAGGGGCTGGAGGATGGGAAGCCATCCATAAAAGGGCCAGTCACTTTGATGGATGATTCTTAGTCTTGTTGGGGATTGCAGTTGTCGATAAAAATCATGGCCTTTATAAAAGGAAAAAAAGGAATAAACCCATGAAATTGTGCATGCAATGCAGGGGTTCAGAGACATTACTGAAGTCCCAGATTAGGAAGGTGACCTTGAAATTGTGACTTCTTAGAAACATGAAGCAGAGAGCTGAGAGTTGAAGAGGAAGCTCGCTTCTTTCGCAGGCCTGGCCAGATCAAAGACACTGCTTAGCGTAAGGCTGAGTATCATGTCTATCAACCCAAAATGTTGGGTATGTAGAATCAGAAGGAGGTAACGTCTGTTTCTGAGGGAGGCTGACTACAAAGCTCACAGAAGAGCCAGGTACACTGGGAGCTTCTCTTTAGGAGAAGAGTTCTATGGTTAATCTACTTGATTTTGGATAATTATCTCTTCATTGAACTAAGCCTCATTATGCATAAATTTCAGTTCTGGTTTCCTACTAATTAGCTGTGACTCTCTGAGCAAATGTTTCAACTACTGTGGATCTTACTTTCTTCATTTGGGGGTCTAGGGGTTAGAGCAGATTATCTCTTGGTGCTTTTTTCACTGAGGCCTCTACTGCATATTTCTCCTGACCTGCAGTCATGTGTCAGCTAGGTTGCATTCAGCTACCTTATTTCACTTGTGTATATAAGAGATTTTCTATCTGTCTTATTATTTAAAATTTACACAGATTCCCAAAAGATGCTGAATTTTTACTGCACAATTCATCCTTAGGGAACCTCAGATTCTCCCAAGCCTCAGCCAGCAGTGGTTTCCCCAACTGTGTGTCTGTGTGTGTGTATTTAACCACACTATCAGTTTTCTCTTTTTATCCATTTTATGGGTATTGCTGAAGTGAGAAAAGGAATTTCCTGGAAATTCTATAGACTGCTTTCTGTAGTCTCATTGTCTAAGAACAGCTGGTCTTATTATTGATGCTAATAATTATAATAGTTATTATACAAGTGCTAGATGAGGATAATCTCATTGAATCCTCCCCACAATAGTAAGGGTGGGCATCACCATCATTCTCTTCTACAAATCAGGCATCTAGAGCTCAGGTAAGGAACTTGTCCATGAAGACCTATTGTGTAAGGGGCAGAATTCGTATTTGAACCCAGGCTGTTTGACTTTAAGGCAACAGGCTCTGTTGCTTCAGTTGTCTTTATGAAGGAGTAACAATGAAATTATAGAACTCATTAGTCATCTTGGGAATCTACCCAGAGGGTGCTTTGCAAAACTCTGCAGGCTTTAACAAGGCAGGAACTGTCATATAAAGAGCATTCCAGTGCAACTCTGCCCGTGACGCCTTGTGCAAATAGCTGAACCTCTCTGCGCTCCGGATCCATCCTTTGCAAAGTGAAATCATTGCATTAGGCGATCTCTGGGGACCCTTAATTCAGTGGCCCTAATGAGCCTTAATTTAAAGAGGACTGTAAAATGAGAAAGGGAAAGAGGAAGTGGAGGTGGGGTGGTAGAGAGTGTAGCCCATCAGCATAGAAAATTCTGGTTGGTTTTTTCTTGCCTTCCTCTGCAACTCACCCATTTTGAACAAAGTGAAAATTTGTTTTATCTGTTGGTTTCTTTGTCTGTTGCTTTTGACTTTGATTCCTTACACAGTAAATGTGAAATGGAGAATTAACAATTATATATTCAATGAAGTTAACGTGGACTCTGTCAGACCTCAAAGCACACATTTTTTTTTCATGTACTTACTACACCAGTTATCTCTATTTTCTGCTTCACGGATGTATTTTTACAGTGGACACATCATGTTTTTGCTCTTCAGTGAAATAAGGTCAAGCATTGGATATACTGAGGTGAACTTAATCTTCTCAGGCTCCATTAAAATGCCAAATTAAATTAGGGTGGTTCAGGAGTATGGCATAGCCAAAAGAGGTATTTTCATTTGCAAATTAACTCAAGTTTCCAAGACCTGGAACATGAAATACTCTTAACAAGTTACACTAATCTCAAGATAGAGCACATTCATCTGTTTCATTAGTGCATTTCCAGGTAAGGTGAGGGCAAGAAAAGATGAAACTCCTGAGTTTAGATGAAACAAATCACCTGGTTAATTGAGAGAAAAAGGACCTACATGCCTACTGGAACATGGACTTTGAACATGGATTTAAAAGGTGGCTCTGTATTGACTTACAGGATCTACACAAGATATTAACTTACCACGCCCAAGATTTTCCACTAGTCATGTGGGAATAATAATAATCTCTTTACGAGGTTGAAGAGTTGGAGAAAACATATGAAGCGTTCTAGGACTATCCTAGCCAATAGGAGGTGACCAGTGCCTATCCCTTCTCTTCCTCTTCTCCCTTCCCTGCAAGCCGTTTTGTTGAAGAGAAGTAACTGACTGCCTAGGCACCACATGCTTTCCCCTGGGATCTGCAGTGTTGAAAACATCCCCTCCTTCCTCTTTAAAAATAGATTTTGTTTCTTTGAGGAATACAGAAGAGACATGGTGTTCTGGGAACTGCAAGGATTGTTTATGAACCGAATCAGTCTTAAAATGGAACTGTCACTATTATATGTCTTCTAAAAACTTCCATGGGAGCCATTTAATTTTAGATTTTATTTATTGCTTCCTTTCATAATTGAAGCCAGAGGGCCCTCTGTGAGTGTTAAGAAATGATAGCTGAACAGGCACAGCGCCTGGAGAGAATTCCCTCTGGCTCTGGAGCAAAATAGTGTGGAGACTTAATTCATGATCATGCACCTCCAAGTACAGGCCTGGATATTAGATACAAGAGGTAGAGATGAGAGAGGAAGAGAGAGAGATGTGGAAGTACTAGAAGCAGGCAGGGGATTTCCTTCAGAGAAGTGACTGTAATGAGAATCAGCATTCTCTGTCACCCTGCCATCTCTTCTCCCTGCTGACCAGGATATGTCCTACTTTCTTCAGATCTGGGGCTGCAGCTCTAGAGCAGATGATGGAGAGCTGGCCATCTCAGGAGCACAGCCGATATTTCAGAGCTGGTTAAGGATTTGCATCTGCGTGGTGATTTGGCACTTTCAGGGAGTCCAGGATTATCCCTCACCACACTAGAGGTCATCTTTGTCCTGGAATCCTCCCCAAAGATTCAGTATTCCCTAGAAACATGGAGGGCTTGCTGCTTCTGGGGTTCCTCCGGGCTGCTGTCTACCAGCTCAGCCCCGTGAACATGTACGAAACTGCAAAGCTGGGTGAGAAGAATCAACCCAGTACTGAGAGGAGAGCCTTGTCATATACAATAAATATTAAAATTAATCCAGCGGAGGGAACAAATTACTAGAAGCAGAATTCTTTAGCATTTCCCTCGGGAGAGAAACGGTCGTCATTTCCTGCCCATGCATTCATAATGAACTTTTCTGAGCCATATTCATATGCAAAAGGAGAGAACTCAGTGAATCCATTAAGTTTTCTGAGTGTCTACTGTGTGAAGTCATGTGTAAAAAATAAGCATATGTATTTAAAATTATCCTGAAAGAAAACTGCACCAAGGGAGCCATTATTAGGCAAAAGAGTATGCTGAAACAACTCAATACATTCACAGAAGTTTTAAACTAAGCATGAAAAAGTAAAGACAATTTTTATGATCCTTTGTGCTTGGAATATTAGCCCCGTTAAGAAAGCTCAAGTGAATTTTTAACAGCTATGGCTGTGGAAACTGGAGTGTCACACAGCACAAAGCAATTCAATAAGGGGTTTGTATGGGTAAACTTTGTTGAAGTTTGGGGAACGACAGGCGACCCATCTCTGGGTTTGCCAGTGTGAATCTAATCCAGGATCCTGGGTACTGATAACCATGACCTAAGAACAAAGATACTCAGAACGTGGAATTAAAGAAAATTCCTCCTATGGGATATTTCCTACATGTCATCCTGAGGCTTTGAAACTGTTGTTTCTTTTTTGTCACTTCAGGTAAATTATTAACACTTCTGAGCCTTACTGTCTTCCCTGTGCCCTCTCAGGATTCAAATGTGAAAGTTTCTAACACCAGGCCTGGCACAGATGTGGCACTAAACAGATGGTGGCTCTTTTTCTCTGTCTCTTGCTGCTCCGCAGTCCTCCTCTCTTCCTGCCTGCTGGAGTCTATAACTGTGCTCCCAAGAACTGGCCCGGGCCCTCATCTTTCTGTCAGAATGACCACTGTGCTGAGCTTCCACTAGAAGCAGAACCGTGACGTTGCACGGAGCATACTTCCCTAGGGACGAACTCCTGCCCTCCCAGACAAGGGAGGGACCGTCCCAGTGCCGGGAAGCTGTCGGCCGGTTTTTGTTCAGCTGTGACAGATACTCCACATGTGCAGCATGAGTGGAGAATGAACTGTGCTCTCAGAATTCCACACCTCTCACGGAAGAGTAAGATGAGCTTGTTACTCTGCTCATGTCACGTTTGGATTTGGGAAGGTTATTTGCCTGTACGTTTAACAAAAGAAAGCAATGGCAAAGGTGAATGGTGCCTGCCTCTGACTGCACCCTCCCCCAGGCCCAGGCCAACACAGACCTCTTGGTATTCCTGCAGTGAGGGTCCAACAGGCTAACCCTGATTTCAGAGCTCTGGGTCCCTACGTGAAGGCGCGACTGTGGTCCTCCGTGTGAGAGCAGCCTGCCTTCCTCCACTTTGCAAGAAAGAACAATGAAGTGTTCATCAGACCGGTGCCACCATCACCTTAAGCCTAGAGCTTAATTACAGACTATGTTTATACAACCCACTGGCTGAGGTGTCCTTTTAAAGGGGAGAAAGTATTTCAGATCATGCCTAAGGCACTTCCAACGGCTGCCAAATCCAGACCTTGATATTTTGAAGGTCCACTAGCCATGTGTCCTAGCTGGGCCCATTTGGGTTTTTTCTAGAACCTGTCTCTTAATAAATTATCTGGCCTTCCGTGTTTGCTTTCAGTTATCTCAGATGTAAAGATATTCTTTGGCAGCCCCAGCTATCTTCTGCCCATATACCTGCAGGAATTCAATACACATTTTTTGTTAGTGGTAGAAATTCTGTGTGACTTATGAGTGTATAGCAATGTGTTGTACTCCGCTTCGCTCTCGATCAGCCATTGTATTCTAAGGGAGGATTTTTATTATGCGTTTCTCTTATAACTCCAGAAAATTCTTTAGCAGATAATAGTTTAATATTTGACAGCTTTAAGCCTTTTTTTTCTTTTCAACCAGTCTCTTTAGTCCTATTTAAAAACAGGAAATCACACATCTCCACCGCAGCACCAAACCACCACCTACCATATCAGTTTGGATCTACGGTCTTTTTTCTTCTGAGCTTGACCAGATGCTTGCTTCTACCTTGCAGGAAACCCCTTCAGGCACTCCGCAGTAGCTACATCCATGGTCCTTTTCCAGGACATTCAGGGTTCATCTCCTGGGCTGCTGTGCACATTCTCCCCTCCCTCACCGAGCTGTCTCCCCTGAGTCACTGCGACCATTCCTCTCCCTGACTTCCTCTTCTTTGCAGAGTCACTCTAGCAGCCTCCTTAGTACTTTGTTAGAATCATAAAGTTTGCTGTAAAGAGGAACTACCCCTCCAAGGAAAGAAAGAAACTGTAGAGTGCCATAGTCCACTTGAGAGACTTCCTACATTTCTCTGTGCCCACCTGTAGCCTCCCCAACCCCAGGGTGTTTCAACTTACATTCAGTGGTTCCCGTCTCTCTCTGGGGTGCCTCTGTCTCTCAACTCTGACTTCTGAGTACTGGCAGTTAGAACAGGAAGGAAGTTAGTGAGAAAAAAAAATGTTTCAAACCTACTAGAAGAGGAAACTCTGGGCTGTCTCAAATCCTGTTCCTTTGCATGCATATCTCTTGATCAGCTAACTCAGAGCTGCATTCTTGTCAATTAATGGCAAGGGAGCTTGACTGCCCATGAAATGGATATGCATGGGTGTTTATGAAAGGGTATCAGCGCCATGAATGACTGTGCGGATGTGTCTAAAAATCAAGTCATTTCAGTTCATGAGCTCATTGAGGCAAGTAGCCTAAAACCAGTAGCAATAAATTCATATAGGCTTTACTTTAGTTCACTAACTTCTGTTCCAATGTGGTCTCTACCAAGCTTCTTTATCAGACAGATATGTTGAATGTTTGCTAGCAGTGAATGCAGAGTGGTAAGAAATCATGAATGTTAACTGCATATACTTGACCCTAAATTAAAACATTTTTCCTCCAACAGATCTCTGGAGTTTTGTTGTTTATAATTTTAAAATGTCGCTTTGTGCTACAGCACAATCAAATGTTGTTTGTCGCAGTTTTCACTGATTTTTCTGTTTTTAAAAAAGTAAGCATTGCTTTTGATTAAATCTAGGAATGCAGATTACAAAAATATAGTAAAACTTTGGGAATTCATAGTCCTCTAACTCAGAATTCGTAAGAATTTAACAAGTGCTAAAATTGACTTTGCACCATATTTGAGGAAATGGTTTGTGAAGGAATTTAAATGGGAACAAGTTGCAGAGGACATATTTAACCATTTGAGGGAACAGTTTTTAAGCATTCAAGCCACACTCTATACATTTCCATAGCTGCTGCCAACAACGAAGGGTTATTTATACTAGTGTTTAAATATTCAGTATTTACATTGTTTTGATATGTTTAGGGCTCGCTAATGAAGCAAGTATATTTAGAGAAACTGACATTTATTTTGTTGTCATTTAATGTACTACATTTTGTTCACTTCATTTTGTAAATTGACATCACTGGGTGTATGCTTAGTCAATGGAAGTGAAAGTGCAGGAGAGAGTGGTCATTTAGTGGGAGAAAATAGATTAATCTAGAAAAACATAAAAAAACTATATAATTAAAATTAACAAAAGTTCTAAAACCGAATTTAAGCTATACATTTTGAAATGATACAGATGGATGATAGCCCTCGATATACAATACAGTATCTGAGTTATAAATAAAAGCAAATATTAATTTACACAGGGACAGTGAATTTTGTACTCAGTATTCTCAACAGGATACACATTTCTCCTCTCAACATTTGTGAGCACCCCTTTTCTTCCAGGTACGGTTCTGGTTTTGTGATACAACAGTAGACAGCAGGCAAAATCATTGCTCTTTTGTGGAATTTATGTTCTAGGGGAGACAGAGAATTAAATAATAACATAGATAGAATAAATTATATAGAACAAGAAAGATTTAAAACTGGGGCATGGTAGATTCATGGTCTCCATGAGTGAAGTGAAACCCATTTCTCACACTATTAGTGGAGAAACATTGCTAGTCAAATGGGGTATTTTTTTCTGCTAAGCCCAGTGTGTCCTCACAATTTGTCTTAATGCACTGCTTTAGGCACAGATGTCAGAAGGTATGGAAGCCCCTAAAAGATGTCTGTAAAGATCAATGTGTGTGTGTGTCATATGTGTGCCTTCATTAGGGGAGGATAGCATTCATAACTTTCACCAAGTTCTCAAAGGGGTCCATGACCTTCAAAGGACTGAGAATTGCTGATTGAGAGCCTCTGCTTGATGATATAATGCTGGGCTTTCAGTAAGCTGGAGGACAATGGCCACTTTCTCCTAAAATATCCTCTGGTATCACAATCAGGGTAGGGATCTACATGAAATTCCCATTTCTTATTTTTATCACAGTTCATTATTCACATGTATTTAGCAGATGGCAAAATTGAGATTAAGAGACTTCTTGAAGAGGTCTGAGATGGGAGGCACTGCCTCTAGCCCATGCTGACAAAAATGTGCTATGTCCCTTCCCCATATCTAAGCTTTTGCACATGTAAGAAAATACCCATCATGACACAAAGAATGCTATTACTCTAAGGACCTTAGCCCTGTAATGCCAAATAAAATCAACGGAACTTGGAAATCTGCATAGGAATTTCCAGAAAAATGATCAAACCTTTGAAGTATCTTCTAACTTTTCTTTGTTGTTATGAAGATGCAGCTGAGAGGTAAGTTCTAGGCATATCCTCCACCCAGTGGTATCTTTGAATGCGCCTGAAAAAGTGACAAATGACTGCAGACTGTTAAGACTTCCCCTTTTTGCACAGACATATTTCTTTGAGGCCAAATATATCAGTTTTTCCTGTTATGTACTTTCACTGGCATGTTTAAGACCTCTTTGCTTAGTCCAAGGTCCTGTTTTTTCCTAAAAGTTTATAGTTTTACATTTAAAAAATAAGTCTGTGATACATTTTGAGCTGGTTTTTACACACAATACAAGGGTTAGGTATGGAATTTTAGGCCATCAAATGTGAGGTTTAGGTTAAGAGTTATTTTTTCTTGGATGTACATGGACAAAATATCCATGCTTATGATCATTTATTCATGCTCCAGATGTTCATTATCCAGTCCATTTCTTGAATAGTCTATCCTTCCTCCATCGAATTGCTTTTGCACCTTTGTCAAAAATTACTTGGGCATATTATATGGGTCTGTACTGGGTTCTCTACTCTGTTTCATTGAGCTGTGTGTCTATCCCTCTGTCAATAACATACTGTCTTGACTACTGTAGCCATATAGTAAGCCTTAACATTAGGAAAACAGACCTCCTTCTCTGTTTTCTTCTTTTTCAAAATTGTTTTGGCTATTCTAGTGCTTTCTGCTTCCATAGAAATTTTAGAATAAACTTATCTATGTCTGCAGAAAACCTTGCTGGAATTTTTATAGGAATTGCAATAAGCATAGATCATTTTAGGGAAAATTGATATCTTTACTATGTTGAGTCTTCCAACCCATAAACATGGTATGTTTCTTCAACTGTTTAGGTCTGCTTTGATTTCTTTTTAATCACATTTTCTAGTTTTCATTGTATAAAAACAAATCTTGTGAATGTTTTATTAAATTTACACTTAGATATTTCATTTTCTTTAGAGCAATCATAAATGGCAGTAGTTTAAAAATTTCAGTTTCCACTTGTTCATTGTTATGTCTAAATATAATTGATTTTGGTATTGATCTATCATTCTTTAACCTTTCTGAACTCACTTATTAGTTATAGGAGGTTTTTTAAAATGTAGATTCCTTAGGATTTCTAGGTAGTCAATCATGTCACCTGTAAGAAGAAATAGTTTTATTTCTTCTTTCCCGATTTATATGCTTTTTTTTTCATGCCTAATTGCGTTGGCCAGAAGTTTCAGTGCCATGTTGAATAAGAGTAACAGGGCACCTAGTTAGGATTTTTTTTCCCCCTGAACTACCATGGCAAGAATCTAGTAATACATGTAATTATTAAGTCACTATGTTGTATATCTGAAACCAATATATCATCTTTATTCCAATAAAAAATAACAAAGAAAGAGTAATGAGAACAGACATCTTTCATCTGTTCCTGATCTTAGAGAAAAAGCATTTAGTCTTTCATAGTTAAGTATGATGCTAATGGTAGATTTTTTTATAGATGCTTTTATGAGTTGCCCTCTGTTTCTAGTTTGTTGAGAGTTATCATGAATGTGTTCTAGATTTTGCTGAACACTTTTTCTGCATCAACTAAAATAGTCATATGATTTTTCTTCTTTAGCCCACTGATACAGTGCACTATTTGACTGAGTTTCGAATGTCAGACAAGGCTTTCATGTATGGAATAAATCCCACTTGATCATGGTGCATTATTTTTTTTATATATTGCTGTGTTTGATTTGCTAATATTTCACTAAAGGATTTTTATACCTAAATTCATGAGAAAGATTGGTCAGTATTTTTCCTTTTTACTGTCTTTGGTTTGGTGTTAAAAAATTTCATGAGGGTAAAATTGGCATCATTAAATGAGTTGGGAACTGTTCCCTCATCTCTATTTTCTGAAAAAGAGTATTGTATTTTCAACTAATACATTATTTGTTTTAAGATTAACAGTGTTCTGAAGAATCCACAAACATGGTAGGATATTAAGGGAAGAAGAGGCCAGCTTTGTACATTTCTCCTTACATTTAGGTGTTCTTCTCTGGAGTCTACTGTGCATTTACCAGTGGGAATCTCATTCTTGAAGATTCCAAATGTGGAGGAAATGTGTCTTTAATGTGTATCTTCCTACTGACTGGTATTTTAAGAAACACTAAAGTAAGATTAGAGATTAGCACTTGTGAAAGCAGCTTATAGCACAGCTAAAATTTTAATTACTTTCTAATTACCTAATACATGCCTTTTAACTCTTTTCCTATGTATAATTACTAATACTTTCCCATCTGTCAGAAAGAATCATGAACCATGGGTTATAGAGCTATGAAACATGACTTCTTTTTTTTAAAGCATTTTATGATGTTTAGTTTTAAAATTTGCATATAGTGAAACCAGCTCCCCGTGGCATATAGTTCTATGGGCTTTAACAAAAGCATAGAGTTGTTGATCTGCCTAACAATTAAGGTACCAAATAATTCCATCACTTTCAAATATCCCTTGGATTTTTTTCTTTATCATCAACTCTTCTCAACTCCTGGCAACCACTGCTCTATTCTTCAATGTCACAGCTTTCCCTTTTCTAGAATGTCATAAATGAGCTCAATCTGTATACAGCCTTCTGACTCTGGATTCTCTCACTTAATAAAATGTATTTAATATTCATCTGTTTCATTATATCAATAATTCTTTTTTGTTTTTCTTTTTTTCCAACAAGA